TTATTCGACACCTAGTGCAACTATACGTCAGCATCAATCGTGCTCACGGTCTTACATGGTGGCTCACTGACTGTCATACTGTCACCAAGCGATGAAGAATAGAAGCACCAGTTCTGAAAAATCGAACGACTGGTTGTATTTTCTAAGCACGGCAAAATAGCTTCGTTTCTGAAACGGTGCATATGAAAAGTGCTTTTCTATCTAGCTGGTGCCTTGTTTCCTTCTGCTACGAGTATCTAGTACATCAATATACCTCTTTAACAAAATAAACTGAAGCTTTCTGACTAAGATAAATGAAGAATAGAATACCAAAATGCATAAAATTTGTTTGTAAGTAAAAGCAGTCTTTATGCAAAATTTGCCCTAAAAGAACTGGTGTTGAGGCATTTTCAGGTAATTTGAAAATCTGGGCCTTTTGGCCAATATGACAGATAAACTGCAAGATAGGCTTTGAAATAATTTAAGTATTTGGAGATTCGCATTATCTATTGATGCTGAAGGGAACTGCGCTTTTATTTGCTCACGCCTTACGCAAGTCAAATAATACTACTCTGACATACCATTTGTTGCTGCGTAAGTCTTTCTAGTGTCCATGCTGCTTGCTCTTGCTGAGAGACGCTTCCCTGCTTCTGGCGGCATGTATTTATTGAACGGTGCCAAGCCACACGATCATATGCATGAGTGCAAATGAGACGATAAAGAGGATGTTCATGAAGAGGAATTTTCGCGTCAACCGCAGGTCGCTGGGACTGTGTGGGGTTAGTCTCCGCTGAAAACGACGCCAGGGAAACAGCATCCAATGAAGTCTCCTACAAAATCAAATAATGAACTAAAATCTTCGCTGAATATGCGAGTTGGCGTCTGTTAATAACAAACTGTCCAGTGGAATGGTCATAATACAGCTGACCTAAATCAGAATGGGACGGAAAACTGAAAAATTAAAAAACCCTAGCTGAAGCAAGACACACACGCGCTGGATCGGTTGGAATCGATTCATGGCTGTCCGCATTATATCAAAAAGCAGCCCCGTGAATTTAGTTAGATGGAATGATATCGAAGGAGAGATAACTCTCAGTGGAATCCGGGATCACGTGATCTCGTATTGAACTGAGACTTTTTATTGGACAAGTTCAGAATGCTAAATGATATCTCTAAGGATGTGTAGAAGAAGTTGCATTTGAGACACCAGACTGTGTGCAAACTCACTTCTAAAAACGCTTGTTCGAGATTCGAAAAATTGTCCACCGTCTGGTTGCTGTAAAAATTTTGTAACTCAGAGACTGTATAACAGTCGGGAAGCTGGAACTCGAAAAACTCCTCGGGGGAAACTGCAGGTTCCAGTAGCATAGGCGCCGAAACTTCACACGAAGTCGCATCGAGAGGAATTTCATCGACGGTGGTTTCGGTAACGGCGGCACTCTCGGTTCCAGTATTCCCTGTTATGATTGCTGGTGAAGCGGCATGAGGGCTATCTTGGACCGCAGTACTAATAGACTGGATAGCTTCAAAACCACGCGAACTCGTGGGACGTGTGTGTTCTTGAGTGCTAGTGGGGATTGGAGAACTTGGTAGGGGATCATCGACAAGAGGAAGCGCTTGCAATCTTGCTATGTCCTCATCAGTCTAAACACGTTGGAAAAATAATGTGCAATTACCGCCCTCAAATT